AAAATGTTTGACCTTGCGAATAACAGAATGGACTTCCAACCAGACATTCCCTTGGGAAGACCTGGAGTGGCTTAGGGGGAGGGGCCGAGGCTCTGCTGGGTCTCCCGCCCTCCCCACCCCAAGGCCCTGGTCAGGGCCGCTGGATGACCCTCCCAGAGAGCAGGGTCTCCGTCTGCCTGCTGACCACCCACCTTCTGAGGATTGCCCATCCTCTGAAATCTGCAGGTGCAACTCCCTCGACTTGGCATTCAACTCACTGTGGAAAGGAAGAAGAGACATGAATCCTTGAAAATGCTACACTACTTTCTTGAAATAGTATTTTTTTCCCTGATGATAGAAAGGAATGCAAATCACCATCAGTATTTAAGAAACAACAGAGATGTATAACCAAAATACAAAGATTATCTGCAACTTCACCATCCAGAAATACTTACTGTCAATATTTGGTGACTAGTCTCCTAGGGTAATCCAACGGGATTTTCTGAATGATGGTGAAACTGTTCTGTAGAGCTGCTATCAAATTCAGTGGCCACTAGCCACATACAGCTATTCAGAACTTGAAATGAGGCCAGTGAAAACTGAGGAGCTGGGTTTAATTTTGTTTACTTTTAATTAACTGAAATTTAAAGAGCTACATGTGGCTAGTAGGTACTGTATTGAAAGATATAGCCATATAATTGTCTGAAAACAAATATAGAACATTAACATACCTCTCTCCTCCTTTGTAACCTATTTTTTTCACTTAAGATATCATGGACATCTTTCCATGTCAATAACTACAGAGCAACATCCTTTTTAATAGGTGTCTAGTATTCCACTATCTGGCCTTAAGAGATTTTATTCAGCCAGTTCCTTAATAACCAACCCTTAATAATGGGTTATTTCCAATATTTTGTAATTATAAACAAGCTGAGATAAATATCCTCATACACAGATCTTTGCACACACTGTGTGATTATTTCCTTAGGAAAAGAGCAACTGCCAATCCAAAGGTACACGCATATAAGAGATTTTCTTTTTTTATACATATTGACACCTCCAGAATGATTATTCTAATATATACAGTATTTCCACTGGCTTTTCTCACTTCTTCTTTACCAACCTATAAGGCGAAAAACAATCTCTTTTGTTTAAGTTTGCATTACTTTAGCTATTACTGAGATTGAACATCTTTTCGGATGTTTCTAGCTATCTACAGCTCTTACTTTTGCTTCTCTAGTACAGAAATTTTGCCCAGTTATCTAAGAGAGTGCTCATATTTTCACTAATAATTTACAAAGGCTCTTTATATTATACATGGGACACCCTCTTCCATTACTTTTTCTAATTATTTATTGTTTATGCACCAGAAAGTGATTGATTTCTGTATTTTTGTACTCAGCTACTTTACTGAAATATTATTGATATTAGTTTTTATAATATTATTATTTCTACCCTACATTCATTGTTTCTAATAGTTTCGATTGATTTTCTGGAGTAGTCTAAATATGAAATAATATTATCTCCAAGTAATGATTAGTTTTGCCTCTCCCTTTCCACTACTTGTGTACTATTTCTTTTTCTTACCTAATTGCATTAACTAGTACGTCTAGAACAAAACAGGCGGTATCCTTCTCTTGACTTTAGTGTGACTGTTCCTACTACTTATCACTTACAGTGATTTTTTTTTTTAATCGTATGAAAAAAGTGACCATAAATCTTGTTCTAATTAAGTTTTAAAAATTAGAAATGGTTATTAAATGTCACTGAATATCTTTTGGGCATATAGAGAAATAATAAGTTTGTTTTTCTCCCTTGATCTAGTGACACAGTGGATTTCATTAATGGATCTCCTCACATTAAACCATCCTTGCATTTTTGGTATGAACTCAGTCGGTCTTGGTGTATTATTTTTAATGTGCTACTGGATTCTATTTGATAATACATTAGTCAGAATTCCTACGTCATAATTTGTAAGTGGTCTATAATTTTCCTTTTTTCCATTCTCTTTGTCAGATTTTGGTATCAATCAGAAGTTTCCTTCCATTCTGCTCTGGATGGTGTGTGTTTCTAAAGCAAATGGAAGGCCCAACAACGAGATCTCTCGTCACAGCAGGGCGTGGGTATGTAGGTGACGAGTGAATCGATACTAAGAGCTGCCTTCAAAAAGAAATCCATGTCTGACTTACAGTTTCCTCAGATGCTTCATATACTTCTTTTTAATTTTTTATATTTTCTTTTTTCCTCCCTCCCTCCCTCCCTTCCTCCCTCCCTCCCTCCCTTCTTTTGTATGAACAGTGCTGCAGAACGGTTTTAGAATTCGGCAGTCGAGTAGGTGTGGCCATGGAAACCCGGGCCCCTTACGCACAAGGTGAATTCTTCTTCCCAGGTGAGGGTGGTAGTGTTTTTCGAGAGGGTGCTGGAGAACTTCTGGATGGGATCATTCAGCTGAACTACGCACACTGGGTTAATGTTGCCTGTAATCAAACAGAGGGGCACCGTATTGACTTTTATTTTTGTTTTCTAGTTGCATTAAGACATTTTGCATCTAAAAGAAAGGCTGAGTTAAATGTCTGGTCTTGGCTCACTGGACCCGTGGCTCAGAGGGTCCAGTGTTCCTTTCATTTGCCATTTACAAACTCTCAAAGCACCTCATCTGGGGATACTCACTGGATGTCCACAGCCCCGGGCTGCCCCAAGTGCCCCTGTTCCACCCTCGGCTCTGACTGCGGGCACAGCTCTCTGGTGAGGGCCCTCCCTGGGGGCAACATTACTCCAGCAGAGATGTGGGCCTCACTTTGGACAAGACTAACAGCTTGGAAAAGGAAGGGCATCTGGGGTAACTGCTAAATTTGGGGATACCTCCCAGAGAACCCATTTCCCTCTTACAGAGATGTAGGTTTGTTTGTTTGTTTGTTTTGTGGTACGCGGGCCTCTCACTGTTGTGGCCTCTCCCGTCGCGGAGCACAGGCTCCGGACGCGCAGGCTCAGCAGCCACGGCTCACGGGCCCAGCCGCTTCGCGGCATGTCGGATCTTCCCAGACCAGGGCACGAACCCGTGTCCCCTGCATCAGCAGTTGGACTCTCAACCACTGCGCCACCAGGGAAGCCCAGATGTAGGTTTTTATACCTAACTCAGCTCAGTCAAAACTTTTTGAGGGACTTCCCTGGTGGCGCAGTGGTTGAGTCTGCCTGCCGATGCGGGGGCCACGGGTTCGTGCCCTCTGTCAAGGTGTGCACTGGGTTGGTTCCTTCTGAGGGCTGTGAGGGAGAATCTGATCTAGGTCTCTCATCCAGCTTGTGATAGCCTCAGGTGTTCCTTGGCTTGTAGGTGGTATTCTCTCTGTGTCTTCACATTGTCTTCCCTCTATATGTGTCTATCTCTGTATCCAAATTTCCCCTTTTTATAAGGACGCCAGTCATATTCGATTTGGGCTCATCCTAATGACCTCATCTCAACCTGATCATCCGCAAAGACCCTATTTCCAGGTGAGGTCACATTCACAGATAATGGGGTTTGGGCTTCAACATCTTTGGGGGGACAACATAATTCAACCTATAACGTGTGGTTAAATGTGAAGATGCTGGGACTTCCCTGGCGGTCATGGTTAAGACTCTGCACTTACACTGCAGGGGGCACGGGTTCGATCCCTGGTCAGGAAACTAAGATCCGGCACGCCAATTGGAAAAAAAAAAAAAAAAAAAAAAAAAATTCAACGGTAAAGGACTGGAATATGTTGGCCCTTTACCGTGTACCAGGTGGTGTTCGGTGTTCTACACGCATCTTACTAATCACCACAGTCACTTTCAAGGAGAGATTCTGACTCAGATGGGGACCTGCTGGCAGAGGTTAGAAATTGGGACCCCAACCTTGGCTGACTGGGTCCCGGGAGCCCCTCCCGGCTGCTAAGCGGCATGGCCTCGGGGGAGAGGTGTGAGTTACCAAAACACCACCCATACCCAGCTTCATTCACAGAGTTTCTACGTAGTTCAGTGCGTTCTACCTGCACTTCTGGAACGGGAGGAAACTCCCCACAGATAAACGTAAGTAACCCCAATGTTCTCAGACAATACAAAGAACTCATCGCTACTCTTAGCAAAAACCACACCACAGTGGAAAGATGTGTCCAGTCCCAGGCTACTCTGCATCCGCGGTCTCAGCACTGACTCAGAATCACCGAAAAGGAATCACCCATTCTGCAATGTTTCTGTCTTGTCTCCATAGCAGTCTCTCTGGGCAACACAGGGTTCCCGGTGGGCCCAAAGCCTTCCGGACACCCATAATCCCCCCATGTGGCACCCCCCTTCCACAGGAGGAAGCAAAGGCCACGGACAACCCACAAGGCACCTCCTCCCCTCTGCTCACACTGCAGACGGTCACATCCACAGCCAGCCGGGTGCCCTGCCCTCACCTGGGTGCCCCTGCCGCGCCATCACCCACCTGAAGCACCAGGATGGCTCAGCAGCGAGGCTCGAATATTCTTCACCAATAGTTTGAGCTCATGAGCCCTTGGAGGTTTGGGGGGGCAGGATTCCTGAGTAGATGGAGTGCACTGCAGATGCTGCAGAAAGGCAGACAAAGAACGGGGAGCCATGGGAAAGAGGCGGTGGCCGCTGGACACCTGTTACACGGAAGGAATCTTCAAGAAAACCTTCAGAGGGAGCCTGGCCCCCAGGCCTGCTCTGTAACAACTGGGGAGGGAGGGTACCAGTCACCCACAGCTGCTTTCCCTCCTTGGGAGCCTTGTACATCCCACAGAAAGCAAGCGAGGGAGTTAAGCATTCACCCAGAGAGGACTCCCCTGAATCTCACTGTGGGTGGAGATGGGGCCACGCGTGACCCAGGGCAGGAGCTTGAGACAGAGTGGGGCGCCCTCCCTGGGATGCAGGGGCCCACTGCCCACTAGCACTAAGTATGACACCAGCCAGAACACTGGCTACTTTCCACCTCCTGGCAGACCTGCCATCCACGTGGGGAGGATCTAAGTGTCATCCAGGTGCCATGCTAGGGACAAAGCAGAGGCAGGTACCCTTTGAGCCTGCTTCATCACCATATCCTCAAATGGGCATCAAGGTGTTTCCAACAGAGAGCCTCCCCAAGCTTGTGGGACCTCACCTTCAGACCATCCTTTCTCAAGCTAGCTTCCACCTCCCACTCATGGCTACGAGTGTTATTTACAAGGGGCTCCTTAGGTACAAACATTTGGGAATCCTGGGAAAGCTTCTCAGAGACATCACAGGCCTCTGCACAGCGAGAGCCTCCCAGGGAGGGATCCTAAGAGCTAATTTGACCTCAGAGTGCTTTTGTGGCGGGGGGGGATGGGATGCTTACTAACATCTCAAGCGACTGTAGTGTTCTTTAGGTCACGACCTAGAAAACATGATTCTGAGCCAGGGCATGGCCTTGCCCACTGTGAGCTGCAGGTGCTGGGAGGCCAAGAGGTAATCACAGAATTCCTCAAGACCCAGGTCCCTGAGCACTGAGGACACAGCAGCCCACATGTCTGGGGTGGAGATGCAATGTTTTCTCAATTGTGTATGCGTGATGGCTAATCTTATGTGTTGGCCTGACTGGACCGTGGGGTGCCCAGGCATGTGGTCAGATGTGATTCTGGGTATGTCTGCGAGGAGGTTTCTGCCTGAGATTTACATTTAGATCAACAGACCGTGTAAAGCAGATTGCCTTCCCCACTGCAGTGGGCCTCGTCCAATCAGGTGAAGGCCTGAATAGAACAAAGGGCTGACTCTCCCTCAGATAAGAGGGAATTCCTCAGGCCTGACTGCCTTAGAGCTGGGATATCCATTTTTCCCTGTCTTTGGACTTGAGTGGAAACATCAGCTCTCCTGGGTCCCAGCCTGCTGGCTTCTCCTGCAACTCTTGGGGCTTGTCAGCCTCTGGCATGAGCCAACTCCCTAGAATAAGTCTCCTTATATATATAAATATATATATTTTATACAGAAATATATACTTGGCTCATGCAGTTATGGAGGCTATTTTATACACACACACACACACACACACACACACACACACATCCATTGGTTCTGTTTCTCTAGAGAACCCTAATATAATATGCATGTTATTTTGATACATACACTCTACAAATTTATTTAAAAGCATTATTGAATTTATCGTAGTCCTGGTCCCTTTATTTTCTGAATCAGTGTATTCTAAAAATGCAGTACTATTTTGTGAAGTTTCTCAAATTTTAACATTAAAAATGTATAGTCATATTCAAAACAGGCAGCTCTGATTTGAACTAAGCCACCAGGATAGAATTACTGAAAGAGAGAACAGCCAAGCCTCTGCTCTCGCCTCTGGGAAGCCTGGCCTGAGCCCCCATCTCTGGGCCGAGCCCCACCTGGCGGCACAGCCCTGGGAAACATGCGCGCGCGCCCACAAACCCCTCCCTCTGCTCATCTGCTTCCTCAGCTGCATCAGGTTTCTCATGTTCTGATAACCTTCAACACTCAGAGCGAACCACAGAGCACTGTGATCCCCTGATATCTGTGCAGTGATCTGTGCAGTGAATCAAAGAGATTTTGTCTCCAGGCTCTACACATGCACAGTGGTGATGCCCTAACAGGAACCAGAGACCAAGAGCCTGCATCAAAAAATCATATTAAAAGTTATATTTTAGGGACTTCCCTGGCTGTCCAGTGGTTAAGACTTCGCCTTCCAAGGCAGAGGGTGAGGGTTCGATCCCTGGTCAGGGAGCTAAGATCCTACATGCCTCGTGGCCAAAAACCCAAAACATAAAAAACAGAAGCTATACTGTAATAAATTCAATAAAGACTTAAAAAAAAAAAAAGTTATACTTTCACACTGACTTCACCACCCACTACATAATAACAGTGGATATTCTGCCATGCCACATAAAAATACTGGAAAGACATAGGAAAAATAACTTTAGGGACTGTAAATGTATGTTTTGCATAGTCATCACGAAAAGATCTTCTCATGATTGGGAGAATTAATTGACCTCAAGCCAAGGTTTTTAGATGTGTCGCCAAAAGAGATGTGCGGGACCAAGCCCAGGGAGGCTGTCCTGGACGAATGCCCTGGACGTGAATTTAGCCAGAGAATTGGCACCTAATTGGGCGGTGGGGAGGGCCCTGGCATGGGGAGGGGGGTCGTCAGCAGGGGAAGGACCCCACAGAGGAGATGGCCTCATGTGTCCACACTGCCTGAGGGCGACAGACCCCCGAGAGGCAGTGTGCACGGAGGCTGTCCCCGACCTGGGCTAAAAGTCTGTGGGTCCAGTGCGCTCACTCTGCCTGCCTCGGGGCAGTTCCCAGGTACCTCGGTTCTGGGAGGGTGCGATCCCAGACAACGGGCTCTGGGGGCACAGCGAAAAGTCAAGTTCTGGTTCCTAAACAGAGAGGATCTGGGCTACTTAGGCTTGGACTCTGCTGAGCGGGCCGGACACCTCTTCCTTTCCTCCCGTGGGGCTTCGGAACCCTGTGCCCTGAACTCAGAGCTTTGCCCCAGACCGTGGTCATCGCCCACCAGCAAGTGACCGTGCAATCTCGCTCTACCGCGGGGGGGCGGTGGGCAGAGGCAAGGTGCAGGGGTGGGGGGCGAGCGTGGGAAATGCACACAAATTCTCCAGGCGGGTGGACCACGGTCCTTCAGGGGGTCATGAAGCACCCACAACCCAGTGAACTGGTTTACCTGAACTCCCCTCACATCCGTAGGCTTTGTGCTCAGAACTGCTGATGGGGACGCAGAGCTAACCAGTTGCTTCACAATATCCTTGAGACTTTCAGAGACTGCATCTGCCCCAACCGCCTGGTCCTGCCGAAAGAGGAGGGAGTCACCAAACCATCTCGTAACCAGGCACGAGTACAAGTGGGCAAGCAAATGCATGGCTCTCCAGATGTCCCTGGGACAAAACAGACTTGGGGTCACCAGGGCTCCAGGAGATCAGACTAGGACAGTGAGACGCTTACTCACTCTTATCTTTGCCGATCTCAGAAGTCATGCATCCTCGTTTTTTTTCGTTGTTGTTGTTTTTTTTTTGGCGGTACGCGGGTCTCTCACTGTCGCGGCCTCTCCCGCTGCGGAGCACGGGCTCCGGACGCGCAGGCTCAGCGGCCATGGCTCACGGGCCCAGCCGCTCCGCGGCATGTGGGATCTTCCCAGACCGGGGCACGAACCTGCCGTCCCCTGCATCGGCAGGTGGACTCTCAACCACTGGGCCACCAGGGAAGCCCCATCCTCCTTGTTTTTAAAAGTTAAAGATAAGACATGTGCAACATAGACATGTGTTAACATTTCTGTGTATATCTTTTCAGTCCTTTCCTGTAAACATACAGGCACATGTTTTTTCTTTCTTGCCTGATGTTTGATTTTTTTTTTTTTTTTTTAATTAAAAGGTAGTCAAGGGACTTCCCTGGTGGTCTGGTGGTTACAACGTCACCTTCCAATGCAGGAGTTGCAGGTTCAATCCCTGGATGGGGAGCTAAGATCCCACATGCTTTGCGGCCAAAAAAAAAAAACAAAACAAAACATAAAAGCAGAAGCGATAATGTAACAAATTCAATAAAGACTTTAAAAATGGCCCACATCAAAAATAAATAAGGAGAAAAAAAAATAAATGGTATTCAAGTAAATGGAAAGGCTCAATAAACATGAAGACAAGCTTCTAGAGGAATAACACAGCAGGATGACTTGCATCACCAGATGTCAAGCTCTGTAAGGCTACAATAATTAATACCCAACAGAAACGCGCTCACGTGTCCTAGAATGTTCAGAGCACCACTATTCATAATGACCCCAAACTGGAAACTACCTAAGTATCCATCAATATCTGAACAGATACACAAGTTATGGTGCAGTCACACAATGGAACACCACAGGGCGAAGAGCACAAACAATGTACAAGCACACACAAAGACACAGATGAATCTCACAGACATAATGTTAAGTGAAAGAAACCAAACTCAGAAAAACACATACGTAGTACTGCATGATTCCTTTCTTTAAAGTACCAAAACAAGCAAAACTAAGCTAATGCTGTTTGTGGGCAGAATTCTAAGATGACCCTCAACGAGTCATGTTCTGCATCATCCCCTTGCCTCGAGGGCAGGTGGCGCCCGTGACTTGCTTCCAGCCAATGGAATACGGCAAAGTGATGTGATGGCCAAAGGTTATGTTATATACAACTCCCTCTTAGCAAACCAGAGCAAGAGATTCTCCTCCTAACCTTGAAGAAGTCTGCTTCCACGTGTGAGGGGGCCACATGGCACAGAACTGCAGGGCTTCAAGGAGCTGAGAGCAGCCCCAGCCCACAGCCATCAAGGAACTGAGAACCTCAGTCCTACAACCGCAAGGAACCGAGTTTTGCCAACAACCATAGGAGACTGGAAGAGGATCCCGAGCTCTAGGAAGGGCAGTCAGCCCAGACCATGATGACAGCCCATGAGACCCCGAGCAGGGGACCCAGTTAAGCCTGGACTGACTGACAGATACTATGAGGTAAATGTGTGTTGTTTCAGGCTGCTGGGTTTGAGGTAATTATTAGTTGCAAGCATAGATGACTCATACATGTTAGAAGTCAGGAGCATGGTTACCCTTTGTAGGGGCTGCAGGTAGTGAGTGGAAGCGGGTAGAGGGGGTTTTCTGGGGAGCTGACCCTGCTCTGTTTGTTGAGCTGGGTGCTGGGTACTCATGAATGGTCAGTGTGTGAAAGCTTCAGTGAGCTGCGTGCTTATAATATATGCACTTTTCTGCATATCTTATCTCTCATTTTTTAAGCAAGGAGGATCTATTTTTTAAAATCTCAGTTAAAAGCCTTGTTTAAATATAATAGCTTTTGTTTTGAACTCTTAAAAGCTAGATCTGGCTGGACACTTGCTAAAAGAAAATGTCAAACCCTGCCAGCTCTGCTGGCATCCACGCCATCATTCTGTGGTCTCAGGAGAGCAGCTGCAGTGTGGTGAGTGCCGATGCTCAGCCACGCTGGCCATGATTCTGGCTCTGCCATTGACGGCTCCAGGGCCCTGTGTCCCTCGTCACCTCTGGTGTAAATGTCCCCACTGTGGGGCTCCAGCCCCCCCTGCGCAGGGGGATGGACACTGGCAGGACTTGATTTCCACCAGGACCACAGACCTATTGAAAAATCTTCCAACTTGCGGGGCTGGAAGTGATTTCAGAAATTGGTCTGTGGTGTCCCAAGGACAACCAGCTGGCCAGGCCTTGTTACAGCAAACTTAGGCCAAATCTGCCATTTATTGAAAATCTACTCTCTGCCAGGAACTCTAAACTAATAATAATCAAAATGGCTCACACTTATGTCACTCTTAGGATGTGTCAGGCTCGATGCTACGCATTTACACATATTAACTAGTTCAATCCCCACAACCACGTTGAAAATCATCACCCCCATTTTACAGACGAGGAAACCGAGGCACAGAGAATTTAATTAGCATGTGTGGGGCCTCGCAGCTCATAAGTGGCAGAGCTGAGAGTTAAGCCCAGGCACTAAGGCTCCAGGGTCTGCACTGAGAACCGCTCCACCATCATCTTTCTCTTATTGCAATAGGTTCTTGATACCCTTATTTTTAAACTGAGGTGAATTCACTTAACATAAATGTAACCATTTTAAGGTATGTGCATTTCAGTGGTGTTTAGTACATACATACACGGTGTTGTAAAACTGTCACCTCTATCTAGTTCCAAAATATTTCCATCACCTCCAAAGTAAACCCTTTGACATGAGCAGTCACTCCCCAATCCTCCCCCCGACAGCCCCTGACAGCCGCTAATCTGCCTTTTGCATCTTCATGGATTTGTGTATGCTGGGTATTTCATAGAAATGGGATCATATGACATGGTCATTTATGTCTGGCTTCTTTCACTGAGCACAATGTTTTCAAGGTTCATTCATAATCTAGCACATATTACTACTCTAATCTTTTTAATGACTGAATAATAGTCCATTGTATGGATGTACTGTACTTGGTTTATCTATCTTTTTCAACCCGCACATTTCTCCTCACTTTACAGAGGAGGAAACCAAGGGGGAAAGATGGGTTCTGGGGTGCTCAGAGACCATCACATTTTAGATCCACAGAGAAGCTGACTTGGGGACCTTCCTTTAGGGCTGTCCCCCTGCCCCCATGCCATCTCAACCACCGGGGGCCCAAGGGGTTACTAAGCCCACAGGACCCAGCTCCAAGGGGCTGTTTAATCCCACAGGATTGCTTCACTGGGAAAGCCACGCTTCTCGTTAATATGGGGAGCCCATGGTTGGCAGAGAAACGTACAGGGCCTTGTGGGGAGCAAGGTGTGAAGAGTGCGCACAGCATGCCACTGAGTGGGTGAGAATATGGGGGAATCAGGTCCGTTTTGCAACAAGAAACCTAGGATGGGTAAACGAAAACGAAAGAAACAAGCGAGCAGAGAGCAGGGCATGGACGGGGTGGAGGGGAGGGGAATGGAGACGGGACTTTTGCACACAACAGTTCATGTAATTCTGACTTTTGAACTATGTTAATATTCTGCGCGTGCAAAAACCACGTAAATCAACAAAGATGGGGGACAAAGCCTGAAACGGTACTAAGAGAAGCAAATGCTGACATCTGCTTACATGAACTCACATCAAGTTGGTAACATAACCACGCAGAGGAAAACACTTAATTTGACCAGTTTTGGAACACAGAACTCAGTACCCCCTCGGCGGGATACACTCTGCTATGAAGACCAGCAGAGCAATCCTGACCTTCGGAAGTTTGATGTCAGAGGTGGCAGGGGAGCCGTTTACAGAACCGTTCTGTGTGTACTGTAGGCCTGAAAAAGCAGTGCCAGGTGGGGGAAAGCAGATGCAAACGTGGGCGGGAAGGAGAAAAAGAAAATAAAGCAGCGACTAGGGAAACACTTAACACGCGTACTTTGTACAACTAAACGGTCAGGCCAACAATTTCACTTCTGACGTACGCAAGGGAAAAGAATTACAATTCAAACTTCTTAGTCTTAAAACAAACTGCCTACACCTATATCAAGGCACAAACAGTTATACTATTTATGGACAAATTATTAAATTTTGCACAATCCCTCCAGCAACTGAAAGTGACAGCACCCATGTGACTCGGCAGGCCCCTCCTTCTCCCAAATTCACTTCCTCACACCCCCAGGACCACAGGAAGCGGGGAGATCACCTTCAGACTTGAGACACAGCTTTGCAAAAGCTGTGCGGAGAAAGGAGGTGGTGGTCTTGGAAGCCAGGCTTTGGACTCAGGCTGAGCTGTAGGTGAGTCGAGTGCCCTCACAGTGAAGGAAAGCATCTGAGGGTCAGGTGTGATAGAACCGTGAGGAAAACCTAGGTTCCATCACTGCCATGGTTTTCAACCATTGCACACAAGTGCTGCACACAAGTGCTTTAAAAAATCCCTGGTCCAATTAAACCTGCCTGGGGGACAGGGCAGGCTTCAGGATTTTTAAAAGCTGCCAGGTGACTGCAGGTGCAGCCCAGGTGAGAGCTGGCATTAAATCCACGGAAGCCCCTCCCCACCTCCCCTACCCCCCACCCTGCCCACCAACACTGCCCCATCACTGCCCTGTGCATTCCCCGGGATCACACATCAGACACGCATTAACCAGAGGCCCCGTCTCCCAGAGCAGGTGGTCATAATGTGCCATGTTTGCACGTACACGAGGGAGGAATCACAAAAACTCACGGACTGACCTCCCCCGGTGCTTTGGGCTGGACCGTAATGGCCATCTCCGGCGCGCTGATGAAGGACCACTTGATCCGAATGTCTTCTCTCTTCTCCTTCATGTGGAGCTCCAGCTATTAAAGGAAAAAAAAAAAAAAAAAAGGTTATTGGAGGACTGCTCTCTTCACTGGAGCCTCAAAATGTGTCTGTGTGTTCATTTGTTTTCTTAGACTGTTATTTATCGCCTCCTTGGCATACTGTGTGCTTTCAAAATGGAAAGGAGGGTCCCAAATCCCCTGACCTCCCTTTCCCCGTTGTGTAGCCCATCCCGCCCTCCCCGGCGCCTTCCTCTGCCTCAGCCTGTCACTTGGAGAGGAACGTCAGGGTCGGGGCTAAAGGCCAGGTGCCATGAAAACCCTGCAGCCTCTTGATAACCAACCCTCTGCCTTGCAGCTCTCTTCTGAGAGCATCACCAAGGCATAATGGAGCTGGAGGGACAAAGAGAAGGGAGCCGGACGCCTTGTCCAGCCCCACATGCTGACACAGCCCCCGAAGGTTGTGTACAGAGCCGTCAGCATTCTTATCCTCTCTTGCCAGGGCCACTACACGACCTCCACTCGGACTCTGATCTCTCCCGATGCCCCTTCTGGCCCTACCCATCTGTTGTGGTAGAATAACGCCTGCCCCCCCAAAGATGTCCACACCCCAATCCTTGGAACCTCTGGATATATTACCTCACATGGCAAAAGGGACTCTACAGATGTGATTAGGGTAAGGACCTTGGGGTGTGGTGGCAACCCTGAATTAACCCAGTGATCCCTGGGGAAGCACAGGAGCCCTTAAAAATGGAAGAGGAAGACAGACGAGCATGCCAGGGAGATGTGACTGGAAGACAGAGAAGGATGCCAGGAACCCAGGAATGAGGTTGCCTCTCGAACCTGGGACCTTGCCCTTAGCTGACAGCCAGCAAGGAATTCGACCCGCAGTCCTGCAACCATAAGCAGCGGAATCCTGCTGATGACGGGTAAGCAAGGAAACAGATTCTCCCCCAAGAGCTTCCAGAAAGGAAGGCAGCCCACCAACACCAGGATTTTAGCCTGTGTTGGACATCAGACCTCCAGAATGGTGACATGATAAATGTGTGCTGTTTTCAGCTAAGATTATGGTGATTTGTTTCAGCAGCTATAGCAAACTAATACGCCATCCTTCCTCCTTCAGCTGAAGACTCATTCTAAAGCCAAAATCTTGACCCTTCCCACCTCCATGCCTCCGCCCCACCACCCAGGGAAAGGGAAGGAGAGAATGGCTTTAGACTTGTTTTCTCAGTACTCAGTACTCTCCCTCACATTAGCAACTAGCATGAGGTAAGAGAAATGATGCTTCCCTTGCCCTATAATTCTGGGTGACTCTCGCAAAAGTGCCCTTTAGGTCTTCCCTGGTGGCGCAGTGGTTGGGAGTCCGCCTGCCGACGCAGGGGACACAGGTTCGTGCCCCGGTCCGGGAGGATCCCACATGCCGCGGAGCGGCTGGGCCCATGAGCCATGGCCGCTGAGCCTGCGCGTCCGGAGCCTGTGCTCCGCAACGGGAGAGGCCACAACAGTGAGAGGCCCGCGTACCGCAAAAAAAAAAAAAAAAAGTGCACTTTAATTTCATTGCCACAGTCCCTGAGTCGTTCCCACCGGGTCGGGGAGAGGGGTTAGCCGCTCGTCTCTATGCATCTTTTATCTGAAGAACGGCAGAGGACAGGATGCCTCCTGCCATGAGCATTAATAATTCACCAACCTCTAGCAGCTGCCCCTGCTCTGAGAGGTAATCCACAGGCTGCTTTTAAACTATGGTAAGAGATCAAAGATACAATTGTGTTACCTGTATCTGAGCTGCCGAAAATGGCACATAAACAGCATCTCAGAAACTATGTTTCCTTGCTGAATGTTTGTGGTCCTTCCTGCACTCACCCCATCCTGAAACGTGTGTCATGTTGGGTACGTGTGTCCCAGACTTTAAAATAATCTTCTAATCACATTGTCCAAAAAACTAGGTGGGGAGCAGCAGGGCTTTAACATCTGACAAGTCCACGAGGTCAACTTAATCTCTTCGACTCTCGGAAAGGGAGCGTTACCAGGGTAGGGCTGGGGAGGCTGGGTTTCAGAGAAAAGCCATTTAGGGAGCCAGAAATTTTTGTTTGCTCTGGTTGTTTAAACCCATGTCTTTTAAGCAAAGCAAATGGAATATAATCTTCCCTTGTGGTTGAGAACCCTGAATGATTTGTGCTCGTCTCCCAAATTAGCAGTCAAGCACAAGGACAGAGGAGAGGGAACGGCTTGAATCAGCAGTGACCCCCGAAGCAGACCCAGAAATTCACAATTTTTACACACCGGCTAAACAAGAGCTTCAGTGAACTTCTGCTTCTGTGTGTGTGACATGCACAGCTATCTGATGGTTGAGGCATCTAGAAGTTTCACTAATAAGTCTATTATAATTATTACATATGTTTCTATTTATAATTGCTTTATGTATAATTAATGTTATATATACAATATATAAATATATCAATCATAAAAGTTATAATTATGTAAGTCTAATATAATTATTATAATAATGTCTATTACCCCAAAAATAATGGTAGTACTCATCCTTTAACATATAAAAATAATAAGGGGCCTTTTAAAGCTGACTTGTCAAACACTAAAAGGAGGAATGCCAAGTCCAGCCCCTAAGCTGTTTTCCAAGCTGCGGGAGACTTCTGAGGTCTAGTACTTGATCCTGAAATAGAACCACCTGCCTTCTCTCAGATGCCATTTTCCTTAATCTAACAGTCGACACACCCTTGATATGCTTCAGTGCCTTGAAAAATACCATATCTCCCGTATTTGATGGATGGGAAACTCTGAATTCGTTATATGTATGTATATATACGTGTCTGTGTATATACATACCTATGTGTGTATATATGTGTGTGTATATACATACACCTATTTCACGCACACTTTATTTCCTACAGAGACAATATAATATGGAAGGTGACAGCTCGAAACTTATGAAATGAACAGTAATCAATGAAAACAGGAGCATGCACGTCTGTGATCGCACCCCTCTCACCCTGCAGGTTTATGAGAACTGTGTTCCTAGGACTCGCTCAGTCTCCCCAACTTTACCTGCAGATGAAGCGGGGAGAGCCGCACACTGTAGAGCGGGCGCCCCGTGTCCTCGGACGAGGGTAGCCCCACGCTGACCAGGAACTGGATGGTCTCGCCCACCACGTGACAAAACACCACCTAGAGAAGGGGCCATAAAACGACGGTACTTTACGCAAGAGAGAGGAGAGCTTGCACCTTACCCACCTTCATTTCACTGAACAAAATAATCTGGACTCTATAAATTAACAAGGACAAGAATTCAGAGTTTCAAATATGGATGAATATCCAGATTCACACCTTTTCCATTAGGCAGTAATTTGAAAACTAGAAACAGTATTTCAGATCTTTTCTTCCTGGTGGATTCCTGGGAGCTAACTCTGGCTTTGCCCAAATCTAGTTAGGCTCTTTCTACTCATAAAGATCTTTTTCTTTAAACATGGCTTTGTTCTATTTCTCCACGTGGCCGATTTTAAATTGCCCAGACAGTTCCACATTCACGTGGAGTGAACGCCATTTAGCCACCGTCTCTCACTAAAAATGGGCCTTAAAAAGAAAACTTCTTATGGATGTTACAAGGAAAAAATAAAAAACGTACCCAGAACGCAAGAGATTGTTTCTATTTAAATAAATTTTAACCTATTGTGGTTTTCAAAGATGCAGGGATAATTCAAAGAACGAATGAAATATTAAACAGTTACAAAATGATATAGCCTTAACAAAAGCAGAATTATTAAACGAGCTCAGGGCTTCCCTGGTGGCACAGTGGTTGGGAGTCTGCCTGCCGATGCAGGGGACGCGGGTTCGTGCCCCGGTCCGGGAGGATCCCACGTGCCGCGGAGCGGCTGGGCCCGTGAGCCACGGCCGCTGAGCCTGCGCGTCCGGAGCCTGTGCTCCGCAACGGGAGAGGCCACAACAGTGAGAGGCCCGCGTACCGCAA